ATTAATTTCTGGATCTTCCCCTTAATCACGGAATCTCTCTGGGCCCAGGACTCCAGCTCAGTTACTGTGTTGGCTTTTCCTCTTCAGTGCACCTTGTGATGAGACAATAGCAATCAGGCTTGTTTCTCATCATTACAGGAAAGCAAACAGCAGCAGGATTTCTCAGTAGTTTAGCCCCTAGTGGCATGCTGTGATTGGCAATACAGAATAAGCTACTAATGGGTGGGAAAATGAGTAGTGAAGGGGATGTGGGAGATTGCAGGAGGAGGAGGAGGGGGAAGAAAGTGATGGAAAGGATGCTGTCTTTTAGTTTTGGGGAAAGTGGCATGAGTAGTCTCCTGTTACTTTGTAGGAATTTTGGAAGAGACTTAGTTTCTATAAAAGGCATATTCTCACTCAGGCACTTGAAAGCTGCTACAGAAATGCAAATGATCTTCTGAAATTCTGGTAGATGGGGATGGTTCCTAAGAACTCAGAAGGGAATCCATAGCAGAAGGGGAAACAATAACTCCTGATATTCCTTTACTCCCAATGGGCTGCTAGGTGGTTTCCAAGATTCTTAGAGGTTTCTCCTGTTTGGGGAAATCCATAAGAATGGCTCAAGGCCTCCAGAGTCTATGATATTTTCATTTTATGTTGGTAGAAGTGAAAGAGAGTGGGAGAGTGAGAAAAGAGCTCAATCTGGAGTCAGAGAATGTGGATTTAATCCCTGGCTCTGCCACTTAATACTAGTACAATTAATCAATCAATAGACTTTCCTTAAGTGCCCGCCAGGCACTATGTTAACCATTGGGGGTACTAAAAGAGACGAAAGATAGTCTCTGTCCTCAAGGAGCTCACAATATTATTGGGTACGTCTCTGTATCTCAGCTTTCTTGTTTGTAAAATGAAGGGTTTAGATTTCATGACTTGTGCGGTGCTTTTCAGCTCTGACATTCTATGATTTTTCGAATAGCTATCTGAATAGCATGTACTAACCAGATTGGGTCAATGCTGCAAGAGGCCACTAGGGAGCAGCCACAATCAGGCATAGAAGCAGAGCAGCCGATGAGACTCATTGGCTGGGAGAAAAGGACTTCACGGGAGGCTGGCCCAGATTGAGGTCTGGTTTTAGTTCATAGAAAGAGACTTTTAGGGCTGGGAAGGAACACAGAGGGCATCTAGTCCAACCCTCTCATTTGTCAAGGTCCGGAGAATTTATGACTTCCTAAAGGTCAAAATAACTTGCTTAAAGTCTCCCAAGTCATAAGTGGCAAAGTTAAGATTCGATGGCCCCTAAATTTCCCCCACACTAAGCTGCTTCTTAACGTAGAGTGGCCTAGATGGATGGTAACCTTAGAGGAGTAGGCATTAGCAGAATGAGGGACCAGGAAAGAAGGTTGCATTTGAACTGTCTTGAAGGAGGCTGGGATTCTAAGAGGTAGAGGCCGGAGGGAGGGCAATAATTCTAGGCATGGGAGATAGGTATTGGAGCATTGGGTGTGAGGAACAATAGGTAGGCTGTTAGGGCTGGATTGTAGAGTGCATGGAACAGAGTAATAAAGAATAGAGAGATAGGTAGATAGATAGAGAACGAATTTATTACGTACTTCTCACGTATCCCCAGGTACTCTCCTAAGTGCTGGAAATACAAATACAAATTAAAAGACGACAATCTCTACTCTCGAGGAACTCATATTCTAATGGGGGAAGATAAGACATAAATGGGAGCTGGAAAGGTGTGTAGGGGGAGCAAAGAGGGAGAAGCGGAGAGGCAGGAGAAGAGCCAGGGGAGAAGTGAACATGGATGTCCTGGCCACTCTCTCATATGGTGGTTCTGGGCCAGAACTCACCAAGCAGAGGAGGAAGCTATAAGAGTAGAAAGCTTGGGGGCAGCTAGGTGGCTCAGTGGATAGAGCACAGGCCCTGGAGTCAGGAGGACCCGAGTTCAAATCCAGCCTTAGACACATGATACTCACTAGCTGTGTGACCCTGGGCAAGTCACTTAACCCTGATTGCCTAACAAAAAAAAGAGTGGAAACCTCTGTAGGGTAAGAAGGGAAGAGATAGAAAAGTCCAGAGAGGTAAGAGCCATTAGCAGAGCCAGAAGAGAAGTGAACATACATAGCCTGGACACTCTCTTAAATGGTAGAAAGGTGCCAGATTGTGAAATGATAAATGCCAAACAGAGTTTATAAGCAAAAGACTCTATAGCAAATTAAATGAAAATAAAGTGTCCCCTCCACCATTAATACATGGGATACGTTTTCCCCACAGGTTACCACGTCAACACTGGGGAAATGCATCCACAGAGAATATTTGTTACTGGAAAGCACATGGGGAGGGCATGTATGGAGGGAGCACATGGAGCCAGGTCACTTTACATCTTTCATATAGCAGAGCTGCCAAGGTCCTCTGTTGATGTCATTGTCCTGCATTCTGCTGGGTACCACGCTTTCACTCTGCCGAGCATCATATCATTTCTACTGAGTTCTGAGTCCCTACTCTCTGCTGAGTCATCTATTCATTGCGTCATGTCTGTTTTCTCTTGAACATCTCTACTGATCTTGTGGACTCCAAGCTGTTCTCTTACCATCTGCTGGCTTTCAGCTATCCAACTTTCTCTGGACCATCAAATGCTTTGTTCCTACCTATTGGGGTTGAGTAGCTAGTAAGTCTCTCTCTGATGAGGGAGGGCTAAAGCTGTTTTAGTATATAGCCCAAGGTATCACACCTAGCCAGGCTACCTACAAAGACCAACAAAAACTAAAGGCTAAAATTGAGTAAATTATTTTATTTATAAAGTTGTATTTTATTTTTTTCAATCAGCAAAAATTCTTCTGATCATTTTTATTCTGGTGCTGACTCAAAGTCTGGCTCCAAACAACTATTTGACTTTTATAAGACAACCCTTCGAATACTTAACCACAGCTGTCATATTTCTCCTAAGTCTTTTTTCTCCAGGCTCAACATCCCCAGGTTCTTCAATCAATGTAATGGTGTGGGAGTGGGGTTGGAAGGGAAATAGATTTGCAATAAAAGACCATAAAATGGCAAGAGACACTCATTGGTCAATAACCTCAGGTTTCTTGAGTTTGCAAGAACTATCAAACCCATCAGGAAAGAATTAGACTCTCACCAGCTTTTGCTGGAAGATAAGCAAACACAGAGGGACCCCCTGGAGGCTTTATAATCTCTCATTTCTGTATGTTTGTTTTTCTTTTTGAGAAGATAATCTGACAGTGGCTATTCTGAACAAAAACCCAGTGGGCCAATTCTTGACACAATCGGGATATGGTTTTGAATTATCAGTGTAACAGCTTTTTCTTCCCTTTCCATCCTTTATTTAACAGGAAGGTTAAAGATGTTTGTGAGCAGTGAGGCAGAAGTCAGCAGCCTCAGTAGGGCTCAATTACTTCATGTGTAAAATGAGGGGATTGGATTAGAGGTTGCCTAAACTCCTTCCCAACTCTAAACCTATGATCTAATGGCCCTGGTAGAAGGACAGAGAGAGATTGATGGAATCCACTGATTTTGGCTTGGGGAGTACAATCTCAGCCTTCGGGGCTAGAAAAAGACAAGGGAAGGCTTTTTGAAAGATGGGATCATTTACAACTGCTGTGTGGATTGGAATGGGGAGTCCTTCAGAGATGAAAGAAGGGATTTCAGCTTTCAAAAGCTGAAAACTACACTAAGACTTTTGGTATACCCTGTATTTGTTTTTTCTTTGTATATATTTTTTATCTGTTTACATATGCACATGTTGTTTTCCCTGATAGAATGCTAGCATCTCGAAGGCAGGAACTGTTTTCATTTTTGTCTTTGTATCTTTAATGCCTTGCATGGTGCCTGGCACATAGTAGGTCTTTTTATTAATGCATTAAAGCATTTGATAATGCTTGCTGATTGATTGAATCAGCTCTCATCTGATTTAATTTTGAGATCCAAGTCATGTCTCTGCAATCTATTGGCCTCCAGGTAACTTTTCATTAACTCCATAGAATTTGGTAAATAGCAACATATTAGAATTAGAAACGTTACAATTATATCTTAGCATCTCTAGCTTCATTCAATGCTCAGGTCATGTGCTAACTCCTGTGAAAACCCTTTCATGAACTCCATTGTTTTCACTGCTCTCTTACTCACCAAATTATCCTGTGTATAGTTATCTACTTCAGAGGTAGCATCATGTAGTATATAGGGTACTATCCTTAGAGATTGGAAGACCTGAGTTTTGACTCATGCTAGCTGTGTGACCATGGGCTAGCAAGTCACTGTTCCAGACGTCCCTCTAAGATAATGTTACAGAGCACCTTGCCAATCCATGTTGGTAAAGGGAGTTTCTACAACTAGTCTGTAAGTGATTTGAGGGTAGGTATTATTTTCATTTTGTCTTTGTATATCCAGGGCTTAGCACACAGTACCTGGTCCATAGGCAGTATGTTGGGTTGGATTGGACATTTTAAAGATACCTTGAATTTCTGTTGTATTCTATGCAATTGATTATATTTCATCTATCTTGTGGTACCTATGTGTCTTTGGTGGGGGTGTTCTTATCTCCATCTTGCTGACCCAAGGAGACAGAATTGATAAACAAGTTTCTCAGACCCACACAGATAGTCAATGTCAAGAGGAAGAGCCAAGCTTGCAGCTCTGTTCTTGCTTCTAGTAGCCCAAAGTAGACTTCTTTCTGAAGTACCATTGTCAGCATTCCATTTTCTTTAATTTTACTATCTCATTTTTTTTGGAGACAATTGGGGTTAAGTGACTTACCCAGAGTCACACAGCTAGTAAGTGTCTGAGACCAGATTTGAACTCAGGTCTTCCTGACTCCAAGGCCAGTGCTCTATCTACTGCATCACTTAACTGCCCCTAATTATATTCTCAACTCTCATTGACTCCGTATTTGTACAGGACTGTGTGTTGACTCCCTGGCATGTCATTGTTTAGGTCCTTTCTCAGTGCTACAGCTAGTTCTGGTTAAAATAAAAAACAGAGTAAATCTAATTCCTCTTTTACAGGGCAGCCCTTCCAAATATTTGACTACAAGGTGGAGTGAATGAGGGTAAGGAAAGAAGCAAGCATTTATTAAGCACTTACTACATGCCAGACTCTATGGTAGGTATTTTATACATAATATTTCATTTGATCCTCATAACAACCCTGGGAGGTAGGTGCTATAATGACAGCGTTGGGCTAATAAGATAATCTCTGGCATCCTTCTAGCTCTAGCATCTGGGAGGTGGGTGCATTCCCATTTTATAGTTGAGAAAACTGAGGCAGACAGAGATGACAAGACTTGCACAGGGTCCTGAGGCAGGATCTGAACTCAGGTCTTTCTGACTTCCTGCCCAGTGCTTTATCTATGGCTCCACAAGTTGCCTCTCCTTCAAATGCTTGAAAGATAGTGTTACATAGTCTTTTCCTTTGAGATGCAGTTTATGCATCATGTTATGCATGGAGCTTTTCCCAACCTCCCAGATTTCTAGTGCCCTTTCTTCAGGGGTGTTCTATAAGCAGCCTGAAGTCAGGAGAGTTAATTGTTGAGTTTTCAGTGTAAGCATTTACACCTTGAAAATTGTCAAAAAAAAAATTGTCAGGCTTGATTTATTGTTTTGTGGATTGCCTAGACTTAAGAAAGTGGTGGAAAAATGTTGATAATGCAGTTATTATTACTATATATTATTATGTACTCCTCAGGACAAATTTAATAGTATAGTCTGAAAACATCCGCTTTCAAACCCCTCCCCCATATTAACAGGTTGTTAAACATTTGTCGGCACACCCTTGCTTCCCATCCATAAGTACTTTGTATTTAACTATATTGTGTATGCATATATAGACGTAGATGTACATACATATTATATTTATGATGTGTGCATTTTTACATGTGTTTGTTTCCCCCATTAGAATGTAAGTTTCTTGCAAATAGGACTTGTTTCTTTTTTACTTGTATCCCTAGTGCCCAGCACAGTGCCTGGCACATAGTAGGTGCTTTATAATAATTGCTTGAAATTGCATTTGTGATGCTTCCTACCTGTGGGACCTTGGACAGCTCCTTTCATGTCCACTGCCTCATTTTTCTCCTGGGCAAAATGTCAGGGTTGGGCTAGATAACCTCTGGCATCCTTCCAGCTCTAATTCTCTGACTCTGCCTAGGAGCTTTCTCTCTCTTACTTGATAGATAGCCCTTTGCCACTTTAAAGGCAGGACATGTTTTCTCCTGCTTTATCTTCCCAGTGTAGAAGTTTTAAAGTTTTCATATTTTTTCTAAGATGTTGTGTATCTGATAGAGCTCAGTAGGTCGGGAGCACTTCCCATGGGTAGTTAAGAGTGATTTGTGGGCTTGTTTCTGTGTTTCACCATGAATCAGGTGGTGGCTAATGCATGTTTGAGAAGACAGGTAGCATAAGTTCTTACTTGCCTTACCAAAGATGGACATTCTTCATAGCCCACATTGTTTTTCTGGAAAGGATAGTAAAGAGGCTGAGAACCAGACTGCAAAAATAAGATGAATTACTTTTTCAATCTTCAAGAAGACTAAAGCAGTCAGGGTATGGTTGGCTATTGCTCACCAATGAATGTGAATCTTAGCCCTGGTTCCCTTTCCCAGCCCGAAAATAGAGTAGCCTGTCAATGGATATTTGTTGAGTAAAATGAATAGGTGAATGAAAAAAAATGTTATTCCACATGTAAAATGGCATCACTAGTGTTTTGACTTGAGAGGCAGCATGGTGCAATGGATAGAGCATCAAGCCTACAGCCCTAAGACCTAGGTTCAAATCCTGCCTCAGACACTCTGTGACCCTGGGCAAGTCACTTGATTTTTCTGTATCTCAGCCTTTTCTTCTGTAAAATGAGGGGGTTGGACTCAATGGTCCCTAAAGTTCCATTTAGGTCCAAATCTATGATATTATGATCATTTAAAAAAACTGGCAAAAATTTGTAAATTAAGAACAAAAAATGGTGCTAGGTTTGGTTGGCTCATTTCTCTATTACTCTCTGTTGCTTGTCATTTACAAACTTAGCAAAGTTAGATTAGCAAAGGTAGAAGGATTATAAACATATGGAGAATGTGACCAGGAGAGTTAGATCAACTTTATGAATTCCCTTCTCTTTTTACAAGGCTGAGCCTGGGAGCTCCAGACACTTCTACTGGATCTTGGATCCAGAAGCATTCAACATTCTACCACTGAGCTTTGATTGCTGATGACTTTTGAAACCACATGGTTGCTCCCCTACACTCCTTTGGTTAGAGGGATCCTTCTCTAAGAACCTCTGAGAGAGAGAACCACATATTTTATAGCTACCTGGATGATTGAAGGGGTTCTCTAGAGCAACGTCAGGGGTTAAGCAGATTTTTCTTCCCTAGCAATGCAGAGCTAATGTCTGTACATACCTGAGCTTAGCTTTCCCCAGATCTAAGACCTCTGGTTGATTTGTCTGTACCCTTCTACAGGCCCCAAACCTAGACTATGCTTCATTCAATAGTCTTGAATCAATCAAATCATCCTTCAATCACTGTTTCGGTGAAGTGTTAATCTCCAACAAGCACTCAGACTCAAGGTATACTCCATCCTCATCAAGGCTGGGAAGTGAAGTAGGAAGAGTGCAGGATTTGGAGTCAAGCTGGAATCTCAGCATAGCTGCTTCTTGCTTGTGAGACCTTGGGTCAATTGTTTAACTTAATGGTTTTTGTCACTTATAAAACAAGGGAGATAGGCTAGATGACCTTTAAATTTTCTTCTAGGTCTTCTAGACCTATGATGCTAAGATGTCAGTTATCTCAATGGAGTATCAATTAATCTCCTACCATGAGGAGATGTAATGAAAGTTGCAGATAAAGGTCTTACGCTTTGGTTTTTTCAGATTTATCAGGCTGAGACAAAAAGAAGATAGACTTGTGGCTAATCAGAGGATTCTCTATCAGATAACTATTGGTAAAGTATAAAAATAACCCACTTAACATTAATATTCAGTTGTCTACTTGAATTTGATAATTATCAATCATTTATAATGCTGGTGCTAGGGAATTAATATCTTCCTGAATCCTGGGTCTTATACCCCAACAACTGAAGTATTAATATCTGAACTCTATCTAGGTCCTTTGACCTGTAATATCAGCTCACTCTCTTTATTGTTGTTGTTCAGTTGTTTCAGTTGTATCCAACTCTTTGTGACCTCATTTGGGGTTTTCTTGGCAAAGATACTGGAGTGGTTTGCCATTTCCTTCTGCAGCTCATTTTACAGCTGAAGAAACAGAGGCAAACAGGGTTAAGTGACTTGCCCAGGGTCATACAGAGCTAGTAAGTGTCTGAGGCCAGATTTGAACTCCAGGCCTAGCACTGTATCCACTACACCATCTAACTGTTCACTCTAATAAGAGGCAATAGCTTAGATACAAGACTTTTAGAGGTAGAGAAGATCTCAGGTAATTTAGTACCATATCCAAATGTCTAGTTCATACTTCCGTCCAAAAATGAATGAGTCTACTTTGGGGGAAAAAGTAGATTCAGGAGATTTTTTTCAAAGCAGCCTCAAGTTTGTCCTTTAGAAAGAACAAAATGGGAACAAAGGTTGAAAAGGAAGATTTAATTTGCTGTCTTAGCTTAAAGCAGTATTGTAAGTAGCAGCTTTTATGTCCAAGGCAATAAGTACAAAAAGGGTAGAGTGGGGGGGCAGTGAGGTGGTGCAGTGGATAGGCATAGGTCTTGGAGTTAGGAAGACCTGAGTTCAAATCTGGCTTCAGACACTTATGAGCTATGTGACCCTGAGAAAATCACTTAACTCAGATTGCCTCCCTTCCTCCCCCCAAAATAAATAGTGGAGTGGGAAGGGGAACTCATTATTGGAATCCTTTACCCTGGCGTAAAATGAGCTTTTTCTGAGGAGACTGAGCCTGGTGAGGCCATCTGGGAAGGAGATGGAAGTGGCAGGGTTAGATTTGGGCCAGGGAGAAGCCTACTAGGGTGTAGTCATAAGGTAGAAGAAGCCTCTAGAGTTTCCTGATGGCCTTGCAGGTAAGAAGACAGGGATTCAATGACTGCCTCTGACACATACAAGTTTTGTGACCATGGGCGAGTTACTTAACCTTTCATTGCCCCAGATACCTCTGAGACTATATAAGTTACAGACCCTTGCTGATTTTTATAATTTATCAATCATTTTTTCTGAAAAAACAGTTTTCCCTTTATTTTTACGCCATGTTCCATTATCCTTAACCTTATTTCTCCCCAACTGAATAACAACGAAAAATAATTTATGCAGAGCCAACCACTGCAGTACCCACCTCTGCTGTATGAACCACATTTCCCATCCATTAATTCCTACCTCTTTATTGAGAGGAGGGTGTGTTTTCTTATTAGTTCTCTAGGGCTGAGCTTGTTCATTGCATTAAGGAATTGTGTTTGTTAATCCCAGTTGTTTCTACGCTGCTGGGGGATCGCAAGTGCTCCAACTGCCCTCTATATTTCAGTACTCAGAGACAAAACCCTTTTCATTCTGCCTGGCTCTCATTCAGAGAACCCTTTGTTTCTCTGACTAAACCTTTTCTTTGCATTTCTGTTATTCTCCTTTGCTGCAGTAAAGTCAGATTGGGGACCAGAATAATTAGGTGATCATTGGATGATCTCCAGCCAATCTAAATATTTGCTTGTATGCAGAATGAATGATTTGGCATGTGAATTCTCTAGAATGGGGAATCTAACACATTTTCAAAAATAATTTCAGCTCCAGGTGATTTGATAGTCAGAACTGGCTGCTGTCATAAATGAAGATATATCATAAATGACACAGAGAGTGCAAGACAAGTGATTTGAGAAGATTGCTGTGGAATTCCTGCTTCTTTTCATCATGGTTCGGAAAATAATTTCCTTCACCTCTGAGGTTCTTCTAAGCACAAAGTAATTGATATAAATATGAATCGTGAGACCAGAGGACTGAGGGATACGTGGGGATGGTTACTGTTTGCTTTGGCCTCTTTGCCAAATGAATCCTTTAACAAATCCACTTCCTACCTTCCTCCAACAAAACCCTATTCCAATTCCTTTGCTTTTTTTTTCAATCCCTTTTCTCAATGTGGAGGTGACCCTGTGGTTGCAAAGGTCACAGCCACACATGGTTTGCTCTTACTCATGCCCCAAGGATTATGGAGGAGAATCTTAGTTGTCTTATAGAAGACTTTGGTCTCAGGTTCTGGGAACTTTATTAGGAAACTCCCCTGGAAACTTGTTCCTTCCTTATACTCCCGTATGCCAAATGGGGGAAGTACTAAGTCCTGCCACAGGACACAAGACACAAGAAAAGGGAGGACTCATGGACTCACATCTTCCTTGGCTGACTTGATACCGGTCAGCACAATTCAAAAGCAATGAAAGATATACTTGTTTCAGGGGTATCTCCTGGGGACATAGATAACTACACCTTTACCCAGATCTGACTCCTGGTGAATGACCTAAACTAGTTAACAGTCTCAATCTTTTAGCTCCCCTCAATTTCTATTGAAAATTGGTAAGAGCTGATTCCTTAAATGCCCCAGGCAATGCTGCTTCTATACCCTAATAGGACCTGCTGAAGGAATACCAGATTTGATTACTAGCTTAATGCACCTTTTTTCCTGTGTTTGTCATTCCTAGGACGGTAGGTAGAGTTGGAAGGGACCTCAGGGGCTATACTGGCGAAAGGGACATGGCTAGGGTAGTTTCTAATCAATTTTCTTGGTAGTTAGGTGCTGACCTCAGAATCAGAAAGAACTGAGTTCAAATCCCTCCCTTAGACATTTACTAGGTGAATAACCCTGAACAAGTTACTTACCTTCTGTCAGATTCAGTTTCCTTATTCTTGTGTTTAAAATCTACAAAACTCCAACTTACCTTTCCAGACTTATTTCACACTTACTTCTCCTCTTCAAGCAGCCTATATTTCAGTTAGACTTCACTTTGAGTTGTTCCGTGATCTAGCCATCCCATCCCTTTTCTCCTGCTTTTGCTCAAACCCTGCTTCTCCTATTCCTGTAACAAACTGCTTCCTTATCCCTGACTTTTAGCATCTCAACCCTGGTGACACCTATCTTGGGATCCCTCCACAATTGACTTCATTATTAATATACTGTCCATCCTCAAATTGCCTTGTATAATCTATTGATCCATGTGCATGTCATATCTCCCTCCACCCAAAAGTGTATGTTCCATGAAGGGAGGGGTTATTTTTTTATTGTTTTTGTATCCTCAGTGCTTAACATAGTTCTTTGAACACAGATACTTAATAAATGTTTGGTGAATTAAATTCGGTCAGTGTTTTTCTTGATGTTTCCATGGAGATTCTCATAGTGTCAACAGTATTGTAAGGGGAAATGAGCAGGAGAGTTACCCATCAATTCAAGTTTGTTCAACTTGATGAAAATACAGGGCATGGGCTATTATTTGAGGGAAATTGAGGGATCACTTTCCCTTTCATGGAATGTGAGCATACCCACTTTCCCAATACTAATTGGGTTTCAGATTTGGAGTTAACGATTATTGGCTGACTAGAAATCAGCAGCTGTTTGCCTTCTCTCTCTTTAGTATTTCATCTCTTCCCCCCCCCCCCCCCCCCCCCACCCTGTAACTTCTTTGATGTATTGCAAGGGACGGGAAGAGAATTTATCTTTTCCCTACCCTGTTGCTGTTCATGGTTATTGGCAACCTTCAGCAGAAGTGCACGGCCATGGTAGACATGTGCTTGCACAGGGCCCAAGAGGAAAGATTCTGAGGGTCAACTTTCTCAGCTTAACATGGGATTGTAGTGAAAGATTTCCTGCAGAAGCATATGGTAGGAGTTGTGTCTGTTCACACTCAGCCCTTGAAGAGAGCCCCAGCTTTGGAAATTGCCTTGTGGGTACTCCAAGTTTGAGGGTAACTAAGTTTAAGAGTTCACATGCTGGGCTTTCTAGAGAAAGATTTCCTGATATGATCAACTTCTAGGAGAAAAAAGAGGATACTCCAAAGAGTTCCTGCACAGTATCCTAATTGGAGAGCAAATCTAGAGAGTTACTTGTTCTGGTGGAAAGGAATTGCTTGTTCAGAAGCCCCAAGCTATATTTTTCTTTCATTAGAAATCTAAACATTAAAATGATATTATGGGTCTGGAAAGAAATGTGTATTATCCTGTGAGAGGGAGGGATTAGGCTGTTAAAGGTGCTCTAAGTGCAACCTTTAATTACTCACAGTAATAGAAAGTTGTCTCTTGCTTCAGACATTACTAGCTCTGTGACCCTGGGCAAGTCATTTCATCTCTCTGAGACTCTGTTTCCTCACCTGTAAAATGCAGATAATAATAGTACCTACATCACAACGTTTGTGAGGATCAAGTTATATAATGTATGTAAGGTGCTTTGTAAATTTTATAGCATTATATAAATGTGAGATACTATGATCAGGGTATCATAGATTGACAGATGAAGAAACTGGGGCTGAGGGGTTACTTCACTCAGGTCACACAGGAAATGGCAGAGTTGAGATTCAAATACAGATATTTTTACTTCCAGTGCAATTCTCTATCCACTGCACCACCCTGCCTCCCATTTAAAAAGTAATATTTTATTTTTCTTAATTACATGTGAAAACAATTTTTAACCTTCCTTTTTTAAAATTTTGAGTCCCAAATTCTCTCCCTCCCATTCTTCCCTCCTCCTCCCTGAGATGGCCAGCAATTTGATATAGATTATACATGTGCAATCATGCAAAACATATTTCCATATTAGTCACGTTGTGAAAGAAAACACAGACCAAAAAATCCTCCCACAAAAAAGTCAAAAATAGTATTCTTTGATCTGCATTCAGACTCCTTCAGTTCTTTTTTTGGAGGTGGATAGCATCTTTCATCATGAGTTCTTTGGATCATTGTATTGCTGAGAATTCACTTGCAGTTGATCATCATACAATATTGCTGTTACTGTGTATAATGTTCTCTTGGTTTTGCTCACTTCACTTTGCATCAGTTCATGTAAGTCTTTCCAGCTTTTTCTGAAAGCATCCTGTTCATCATTTCTTATAGCAAAACAGTATTCCATTTCAATCATGTACCATAGCTTGTTCAGTGATTCCCCAATTTATGGGTACTCCCTCAATTTCCAATCTTTGCCATCACAAAAAGAGTTGCTATAAATATCTTTGTATAAATAGGTCCTTTTGCCTTTTTAAAAAAATCTCTTTGGGATACAGACCTAATAGTGGTATTGCTGGGTGAAAGGTTACAAATAGATTTAAAGCTCTTTGGGCATAGTTACAAATTATTCTCCAGAATTGTTGGATAAGTTCACAACTTCACCAACAGCGTATCAGTGTCCCAGTTTTCCCACATTCCCTCCAACATTTATCATTTTTTCTCTCATATTAGCCAATTTGAGAGGTGTGAGGTGGTGCCTCAGAGTTGTTTTAATTTGCATTTCTCTGATCAATGTGATTTAGAACATTTTTTCATATATGACTATAGATAACTTTGATTTCTTTGTCTGAAAACTGCCTGTTCATATGCTTTGATGATTTATCAATTGGGAAATGGCTTGCATTCTTATAAATTTGACTCAGTTCTCTACATATTTGAGAAATGAGGCCTTTGTCAGACACATTTGCTGTAATTCTTTCCCATTCCCCAGCTTTCTGCTTTCCTTCTAATCTTGGCTGCATTGGTTTGGTTTGTGCAAATCCTTTTTAATTTAATGTAGTCAAAATTATCCATTTTATATTTTATAATGCTCTCTATCTCTCGTTTGGTCATAAGTTCTTCCCTTATCCATGGATCTGACAGATAAACTATTCTTTGCTCCTCTGATTTGCTTATGGTATCACCCTTAATGTCTAAATCATGTACCTAGTTTAGCATTACCTTGGTATATGGTATGAAATGGTCTATACCTAGTTTCTGCCAAATTGCTTTCCAATTTTCCCAGAAGTTTTTATCAATAGTGAGTTCTTACCCTAAAAGTTTGGGTTTATCAAACACTAGATTGCTATTGTAATTTATTGCTGTATATTGTGTATGTAATCCATTCCACTGATCCACCATTCTATTTCTTCCCTAGCACCAGATTGTTTTGATGATTACTGCTTTTTAATACAGTTTGAGATCTGGTATGGCTAGGCCCCTTTTCCTCACCTTTTTTCCCCTTTGATACTTTTCTTTGATACTTTAGATCTTTTATTCTTCCATATGAATTTTGTTATTTTTTTCCTAGCAATTCCCTTGATACTCTTGACCCTTTTTTCTTCCAGATGAATTTTGTTATTATTTTTTTCTGGCTTTATAAAATAATTTTTTTGGTGGTTTGATTGGTATAGAACTGAATAAGTGAATAAATTTAGATAGAATTGTCATTTTTAATATATTGTCTCAGCCGACTCATGAGCAATTAGTATATTTTTCCTTGACTGTTTAAATCTGATTTTATTTGTGTGAAAAGTGTTTTGTAATTGTGTTCATATAGTTCCTGAGTTTGTCTTGGCAGGTAGATTCCTAAGTATTTTATATTGTCAACAGTTATTTTAAATGAGATTTCTCTTTCTGTCCCTTGCTACTGGACTTTTTTGGTAATATATAGAAACGCTGATGATTTATGTGGGTTTATTTTATATCCTGCAAGTTTGCTAAAGCTGTTAATTATTTCAGCTAGTTTTTTAGTTGATTCTCTAGGGTTCTCTAAGTATGCCATCATATCACCTGCAAAAGTGATGGTTTTGTTTCTTCATTGCTATTTCTAATTCCTTCAATTTCTTTTTCTTCTCTTATTACTATAGCTAGCATTTCTAGTATAATACTTGAATAATAGTGGTCATAATGGGCATCCTTGCTTCCCCTGATCTTATTGAGAAGGCTTATTTCAGATATTGTTTGCTGATGGTTTTAGATAGATACTACTTATCATTTTAAGGAAAACTCTATTTATTCCTATGCTTTCCAGTGTTTTAATAGGAATGGATGTTTTATTTTGTCAAAAGATGTTTCTGCATCTATTGAGATAACCATATGATTTCTGTTGGTTTTGTTATTGATATGGTCAATTATGTTGATAGTTTTCCTAATATAGAACCTGTCCTGCATTCCCAGTATAAATCCCACCTGATCATAGTGTATGATCTTTGTGATATACTGCTATAATATCCTTGCTAGTATTTTATTTCAAATTTTTTTGCATCAATATTCATTAGGGAAATTGGTCTATAGTTTTCTTTCTCTGCTTTTGCTCTTCCTGTTTTAGGTATCAGTACCATATTTGTGTTGGGAGGACTTTTTCTTTGCCTCTTTTCCAAATAGATAATGTAGTATAGTAACTGGTTGTTTAAACATTTGGTAGAATTCACTTGTGAATACATCTGGCCCTGGGGATTTTGCCTTAGGGTGTCTCCCATTTTATTTTTTCTTATTCTCTTTTATGTCCTACACCTAGCCCTCATAATTCCTCTGCCCTCATTTTTCTGAGGATTTTTATTCACTATTTTATTTGCTTGACCACAAATGATTTATAATCAATTCATGTCAATGAATTATAGAAAATTAAACTTCCAAACCATAGCTTTCTACATATATGTGTAAATATAACAATATATTATTTTGACCTTCAAATAAGATATACAAGTGCAAAAATAAAACAAATGGAGGAGATAGAAAGAAAATTGGTAGCAAAACCAATATCAGAGACAGAAATATCCATCAACTAGCAAATACTACTACTGATCCCACCATGACCCCAGCACCCGATGACAATAATGACCTTGAAGGGAAGGACTATACCCTCTCCCAGCCTTGCCAATATGTTTCCATGCTTCAGCCTTACTCATCTACCTTTGTACCTTTGTTGTTGACATGGCGTTGAAAGGTAACTTGCATGAGATTATTTCTGGTGATTGTAGGAAAATAGATGACAGATGAAGGATTGTCTTCCTTCATTTAACATTATAGTCCTAGGGGAAAGGAAAATGAAAAGTAATGATCAACAATGCTGCTTGACCAGTTTACTAGATGAATTATTCTGGCCTTTGAAACAGAACACCTGCATGCTTTTCATTTTGCTGATCTGTGTGAAATTTTTTTAACCAATAACATGAAAAATTCATCTTGTGCATTTGGTATAATGTCAGCAGTTTTCTAGTAGTCTTATTTTCCAACTGCAATGAGTTTCCATATAATATTTAAGCCCCTGATACAAAGTACATAAGAAATAACTTTAGTTGGTTTATTTATAAGGTACCGTATGGGATTTCACAACAACATGG